CATGTGTTATTTCATTTTAATATTTATTTGAAAAGTCAATAAAACAATATATTTTAGTACAATTTATAATATTCTACATACCATTCATTTAAAACTATTGATATAGATATAATTTGGTATTTAAATAAGATTAATAAATATGAATGTAAAAAAAATAATCTTGTTTATAGAAGAGTTTTGTGGCAATTTTAATTACTATCTTTTTATACATTAAGTATTTTATTATTTAGAAAATAACAAAAACAAGACATTATTTATAAATATTATTATTTGAATTTCAAAGTCAATATATTTGTGTGTTACCATTTAACTCTTGAGTTTATTTCTTTGAGTATTTTATGTCAAGAAAACGTTTATTATATTTTAAGAAAAGTAATATCAATTTTATATATAAAATATAAATTTAAAATTAATGAAAATGTATAAATACTTATTGGTCTGTATGTATAACAACATTTTTACATTTTTCAAAACATTCTTTTCCGATTGAAGTCACTGAATTTGGTATTTCAATTTCTAGCGACTTACACGAGTAGAAACATCGTTTTTCGAGTATTTTTACACGACTTGTGATCGAGATATTAGTCAAAATTTCACACCCTAAAAATGCACCTTTTCCAATTTTACTTACATTTTCTGGTACAATAACTTTTTCCAAATTAAAACAGTTACAAAAACATTTTTTAGGAATTTCTTTTAATCCAATTGGAAGCTTGATGTCGTGAAGAAAAATACAATATCTAAAACATGTTTTGCCTATTTTCGAGACACAATTGGGCAGCTGAACATCGACCAATGCATTGCAAAACTCAAAACACCCTTTATTTATTTCTGATACATTTCCATTTATAATTACTGATTTCAAATTGGTGCAAGACCAAAATGCATTGCGCCTAATTGAACATTCACAATTTGATATATTAACTCTTTCCAACGAATAACAATCCGCAAAACACATTTGATTGATATTTCGAATGCGAGAGGGAAAAGTGACACTTTGTAGTGTTGTGCATTTAAAGAAACAAAAATCTGGAAGAACAGCAATTGTGTTGGGAATACTAATTGATGTTAACCCATAACATTGATTAAAACAATTTTCTCCAAAATTATTAACTGAATTTGGTATATTTAAAGAAGTGAGATCATAACACTTTATAAAACAATGTGTTCCAATTTCTTGTAACATAGAAGGTAGTGTTATTGATGTTAATCGTAAACATTCTGCAAAACAGTTCGCTTGAAGACAAGTGACTGTATTTGGAATTTCTATAGATGATATTTGTGTTTTATAAAAGCATTCGTTTCCCAATTTTGTGACCATTTTTGGTACCACTTTATCAAAATATTTGACTCGGTCTTCTTTCGTATAAATGACATTTTTATATTGAATATTTGCGCCTTTGTGGATATGAACACAAATATATGTAACTGAACACCACACTTTAATTTGATAAAAGTTGATTTTATTTTTATTTACAATTGGAAGTGTGTTTAAATTATCATTAAACACATCATTTCCAAAAGTTTCGTCTTCATTGCACCTTATGTTGAGCGTTTCTATATGTGGAAAGTACTTTATAGTATTCTTACTTATAGAAATTGGGTTGAAATGGAACATTTCCATTGTGTATTTAAACTTTTTGCTAACACAGATTAAGTCAATAAAGTTGTGTATGGAATCGAAGTACTGTGAGACAATCATCATGTGGTATCTATCAAGTGAACTCATAATTATAAATAAAATATAAAAGATTTAATAATTTAAAAATAATATATAAAATAGGAACCATACATAATAAAACTGTTTTTTCTCTCGACTTTTTTATTTCTTTGAAGAAAAAAAATACCAAATAACACGGGTTTTAAAGAACTAGTTGGTTTATTTCCAAAAAGAAAGGACCAAGTATTAACCCTTCAAGGACAGGAAAAATCAAAATTTGTAAAAAAATAAAAATCTTAGTCAATTGTAATGTAAATGTGACCTTTTATTCTTTAATTTTTTCAAAAAAAGCCAGACACCCTGGAACGACAGCTCTAGTAAATTATTAATAGTAAATTGTTATAAATTATAGTAAAAAAAGTGAATTTTTTGTTGAAGTTGGGATGAACAAAGGTTCACTTTTTTGTTTGATCCTTTCAGAAACAAGTCACGGTTCAATGGAAAATACAGATCTAACATTTATTGAGATGTCTTCAACTTATAACAATAAAAAAATTAATTATAAAATATAACAAAGAGATAATTGCATCATAAAACATACTGGTCTGGAATATTCAAAATCAATTGCATCATAAAATAACAAAAATGAAATAATAAAGCATAGACTTTGAGGTGTCTTGAAATTTCATTATGCAATTGATCTCAAAAACAATAACAAGGGAAATTAAATAGATTTTTTGTAAACTTTGAAAAATACAATAATTTAAAAATTAGGTTTTGCTATTTTTTGTAAAAGAAATAAGATAAGACGAAAAGACACTTTTGTTTGTTCCGACTTCGAAAAATAAATCTTAAAGAAAATAAATGTAAAATATACAAAAAAATATCTAAAATACATTTTCAAAAGTATCAAAAATCGCAAAATCGAGAAAAATTTATAAAATAAACTTTAACAATAAAAGTAGTCGCATTTAAATAAAATTTGATCACCACGAGGTTTTGTGATCACTCGTTGAGATTTACGTCGTTCCACTGTCGAGAAAGCAAGATATGAATTCATTGTTTGCAATTGTTTTTTTATCATTTTCAAACAAAAACAAAAGGCAAAACGTGTTTTATGCAATCTATTTAGAATATAAAGATTTGTATTTGGTAAATAATTGTTTATTTTGCAGCCACTGTTTATTCATTTTCGAATTATGCATTTTTGGGCAACAAACAAAAAACTAATAGTAAATGTATAGAAATTATCAAAAACAAAGAAAAACACAAGTGTAAAGACATCATGATATATAGCAATGTTGATACTTTAAACTTTTTTTATAATAAAATAAATTAATATATTATTAATAATTTATCATGTTATTTATAATAGTTTTATAATTATGATTGTTATATATTATAGTAACTCTCAATATACAGAATTTTGACACAATAACACATCAACAATCATATCTATACTACAATGTGATTTCATCGAAGTGATAAGTGATCACAATAATATTACAATGTTGTGTAATTAAAACTATATTGTATTTTATGTATAATTATAACAAAATGGTATAATCACCCCTTTTTATAATGTTATCATTATAAAAGATACACAGTGTTTAGAATAAAGCGTATTTTGACTAAAATACACAGTTTGAATTAAAACAAATAAGCATTAAATTTATATAAACAGAAACACACTGGTTTAGTGAATGATCAATAAAATGATTACATGAAATATACTTGATGTAGTTGTTATACAGATAACAATTTAAATTATTTGGATGTTAGAATTGATTACAAACTATATTTCTAATATTATTTTATCATTAATTATATAGAGTCTGAAATATTATAATAATAATAAATAATAATTATTTATTTTTTTAAATGACAATAATAATAAAATAATGTTATTTAAACACACCAAATAACAAAAATATTTAAATAATTTTTGTTTTAAAAGGGATAAATTTAAAGAATATTATAAATTAAGGACTATCTGTTATTCCACGACAATGGATCAATAAGAAATAGACATATAAATGTTATTTATAATATTGTTAACAGTTATAGTTAAAAATATTAGATAATTTATAATGTATTGTTTATTCGATTGATTTTGTAACGAATTGTGTTTTGTGTTTTAAATAGACGCTTTTGTTTAAAATTCAAAAAATAAATATAGTAAGGTTACCCCGTTTTGTTCAATTGTTTTAATAACGCAAAACATTATAGTTATTTTTAATTAATGAATACTATTTTAACAAATTAAATGCAAAAAACATTTTTCGTGTTTTATTTGTGGATTGCTAAACAATAAAATGGTTTAAATTAATGAAAAGTACTAATTAAATCTTACATAAAACAACGTCACTTGCTATAACAAAAAAGTTTGTGATATAACAGAAAAATACTTGACATAAATTTGAATTAACACAACAATTGAGTTGATATTTCAAGATTTGTGATGGATAAATTTATAGTTTAAAGTTGCACTCTTTTAAACAACAATGTGCAAAACCAATTTATAATAAAAAATTATCATTATTTAATCTTAATATCCCGAAAAAACATTTTAATATCTAATGAATATCCTAAATCAACATTAAATAATTGTGTAAAATAACACACAAATTCTTTGTTATATTTGGAATGAAAATTCAAAAAATAAATAATTACTTATTACCATAAATAACTTTGCCGCCTTGCTCTTGACTTCAACGAAGAAATACAAAAGGCTGCTTCATCATCAGAACTCGAAAAATTAAACAAATTTTCAAACAGTGAAGTCATCACCATTGGAAACGAGAAATTCAGATGCCCAGAAGCACTCTTTTAGCCATCATTCCTTGGTATGGAAACATCAGGTATCCACGAGACAATTTACAACTCAATCATGAAGTGCGATGTCGACATCAGAAAAGACTTGTACGGAAACATCGTCTTGTCCGGTGGAAAATCAATCCAAAAATTAACGACAGACAAGAGAAGGAGAAAGTTGCAAATGAAAAACGAATAAGCATAATCAAGGCTGTTCATGCTTGGCTCAATTTAATTATATTCATATTGGTGTTTATTTGGTTTAGTTTTAATAATTATTGTTATAATTATTGTTATAATCAATCATAAAATATAATAAATTTACTATCAGTTATATTATTCACAAGTTGATTAATTATAGTTTATTTATAATTAAATTTATTATACAATTTATTATTCTTTTGTCACGCATTGTATAATGTATCCAAAACTGCCATTTTTTTCGACTTAAATTGATGTTTTATAGCGTTGTTTTACCATATAAGATAATTAATTTATTGTTATTATTGTGTTAATACAATAACAAACAAAATTAATAATAAATAACGGGTTTATATCGTTATATTTCGTTGTTATTTGGTTCTCCAAGTATTTTTAGTTTGAGTGGAATCCATTTTTTTATTTCAACAACAATATTTCTGTCATGTTGTTATTTTATTTTGGTTTGAACCAATCTTATTGGTTATATCAAACCCATAATCTTGCTCACGTTTTAGGTGTTTTTTATTTAGTTTTTGATAAACTTGAATATCTGATAATATTATTTAATCAATTTTATTAACAATTTTATTTGTTTATAAAAACAGTTTATTTTCGTATTATTTTTATTACTAATATTAATTTGTTAAATTGTATATTTTATTGATTGAAGGACAAATCTTTAACAAAAACCAATTAATTTGAGTTTATGAATGATGAAATGTTTAATAATTAATTCAAAAGTTTGAATTTGAGTTGAACTATTTTATCAAATATGTCAAAAATCATTCTAAATTGTTCATGAAAAGTCGCCATTATTTTCATTTTTTTTAAAAAGTGAAATTATTTTTTGAATTTTTTTCTGAAAAAAAAATTTTTTTCAGTCCTAGAAGGGTTAATAAACATGCTGTTTTTTTTAAATGTAATTAAAAAAACATAAAATTAAAACTGGTAATCAATCTTTTTAAGTAGTCTTCATTGTTAATCTCCATTGGCGTATAAAAATGTATGTTCTTTATATCGATTTATCTTCCGCTGTTGAATACGTTTAAAAATTATAAACCATTTGTTTTATGTCAGAGTGTCTACAAATTTATTTTTTTTTCACCAACCAAAATAACCATTTTTTATACCAAATGATTAGAAAATATAATATTTATTTAATTGTTTGTTTGTTTTATTGAATAAAATCTACTTAATATTCAATAACTATAATTAGTTAATACAGTAAAACCTCTCATTAGTCGATTAAACGAGAATATAAAACCCCCAATAGTGATTATAAAATTATTTTTTTCTTTTCCTAACAATAAGTGTTTTTAATTTTGATTAGTTAAAACGTTTTTTAATAAGGAGATTCTCTTGATGGGGGACTTACGAATGATTAGTTTGACTGTACTTGATTTTTAAGTGGTCATTATCAATTCAACCATCTAAAAAAACAAATGTTATACCACTTGAACTTTGTTCAATACAAAATTTAACATTAAAACAATTCACTTATTTTGCTTATTATTAACACATGAATTATATATATTTATTCAATTCTTATGTTTATAAAACCTTCAACGACTTCTTTCATAGTTGGTCGATCTTGTGTTTTGTGTGCCCAACAGCTTTTGATGATTTCATATTCGTCATCTGTGATTCGACTACTCTGAGCAAGTCGCCTCCCACCACTCACAAACTCCGCAACTTTCCACGGAAATTGGAAACTTTCTTTTGGATACGCCTCACACCACCCACACACTTCAAACATTGAAACACCAAAAGAAAAGACATCCGCAGCTTCTTTATATTTTTCTTGATTCAACACTTCAGGCGCCATATAAATAGGAGTACCAACACCTTTGGTGAAAGTCATGTTAGTCATTAAAAGATTCACATTTCTCGCACTTCCAAAATCAGTCAATTTCGCATTCACAAGAATGTCCTTTTTGAGTGAAAATATGAGCATATTATCCGGTTTAATATCTCTGTGTAAAATGCCATTCTCGTGTAAATACAAAATTCCTTTTGCAGAGTCTGTCAAGAATTTGAGTCTCATACTTTTTGTGACAATTTCTTGTGATTCACAAAATTTCTGTGATTGTTGTGAATGTTGTAATTCTTGTGATTCACAACTCTTTTGTGCTATATATCTCTCATTCTTCATTAAATCTCTTAAACTTCCATATTTAGCATATTTAGTGACTATCGCAAGCTTTCTTGGTAACAAAATAGCGCCATAAAAATGGACGATATACTCACTTCTAAACTTATCCAACATCTTTATTTCATTCTCAAATTCCTCCAATGAACTCTCCTCAAAATTTTCTCCTGTGTCTTTCAATCGTTTAATTGCAACTTCACTTCCTCTGTACATCCCTTTGAACACAACTCCGAAACTCCCTTCTCCCAATTTACTCTCAGAAACTATTTCGTGGTGGTCAAGTCGGGATGTGCATTTCGTCACTGCTTGTAATTTTAAATAGTCGATTTCCTCTTTCCCAGTCTCGTAGTCTAAAACCACAATCGCAATTTTGTCATCAATTTTCGACGTGCAATTTGGTGTTAAAAACATTTCAAATTCGCACGCAAAATTTGGTTTGAGTAACACAATTTGTGGGAGTGAAGTTAATGTGTATACATCACTGTTTTCAGACTGCGACGTGAATTGAATTTTTAATGTGTTTTTCGAGTGATTGCCAACACATAAGAGTGACCGACTTTCTTCAGCTACATCAATTTCTGGACTTATTTCGCTTTCATTTTCAAAGACCAAAGCCTCTTTGTTAGTGCAAATTAAGCTGCTAATGTTCTTAAATAACACGTTGGATTTCTTCATGTCGAAAACACAGATTGACTTCTCAAGTTGATTTTTGTGGTTCTTTTCTCTTAAAAACAAGACTAAAAGTATTATAAAGACGACGAAGAAAATGATGAAAAGAGTTGCAATCAGTGGAAGTGAAATTGCAAGTGCCGTTTTAGAGATTTTAACACATGAAAGTCCGTCATCGGAGACTTTAAAGTCCGTCTCACAACTGTTGCATTTGTTGTTCTCTGCACTTTTGCACTTTTCAATTTCGTCAAACGATTTGCAGATGGAATTTATTAATACAAAATTTGTGGCACATAAATTGCATTTGTCTTGCGTGTCACAAGACGTGCAGTTGGTCATACACTTTTCACAGAATTGTACAGCCGTGAGATAATACCCAGCAGCACACTTTGAACATCCAAATGAGTTTTTCGTCTCACAATTTAATAAATTTGCATAAGGTTGACATAGTCCCGTGTCATAAATAGTTTTAAAGTAATTTTCCGAGCACGAGAGACACGTCTTCATATTCAAACACTGCGTACAAGAAACGTCGCATTGTGTACAGTCCAAGCCGTCTTTGTAATATCCACTCGTACATATGGGGCATCCTAAATTTGAAGGGATCATCTGATCACAACGATTCTGTAAATCAGTGGACTCTTCACACTCAAATTGGGCGTTGAGGAACATCCCACTTTTGCATGTTAAACAATACGATGAATTAAAACAGGACTTGCACGTTACAGGACATTCAACACAAGTCAAAGAAGTATTTAAGTAATACCCACTGACACAAGAAAGACACCCTTTACTACTGTGATACTCGCAATGATTTACTTCGTCTTTTTTAACATTCAAATTATATTTGAATGTGTTGTTTAAATAACTCACTGTTTGTTTGAGATCTACACAACTGTTTTGTGCTAAATAAAAGCCGCTGGAACACTCTAAAACCTTTTCTGAATTACTTGTGTATTTCACATGTTTCTCATTATTATTTAATGAAACGCAAAATTCAGTCTTTTCTGAAATCGTTTTCTTATAATTTTCATTACACAACAAACAACTCTTTCCATCCGAAAGAAGACAATTTAAAGATTCTTGTGGAGAGCATTTCCCATTGTTCAGAAGATAATCAGGCTTGCATAGATTGCAGGTACAATAAGTAAAATTGAGACAATTAATATCTTCTGTGCAATTCGTACAAAGTGAATTTTTTAACATCGAATTTTGACCACAAGAAATGCACTCATTCGGTGTGATTTTCTCACATCTTTCTAAAGGCACACAGGTACTCGATGATATGTTTAAAATGGCATTTTCTTCACATAATAAAGAAACTATAATGTTATTATAAAATATAGCTTTTTGGGTGTTTGACGCTTTTGATGAGACTTTTTGGCACAAATTGTTAATATCTAAAAACTCATCTTTTTCACAAGAAAATATGACTCCATTTTTGTTAATGTATTTAATATATTCATCAGTTGAAACGCAGTTGGTGTTATCATAATAATAGTCATCCTGACACTGCAAACATTGAATATAAAATTTTTCATTTACATATTCCGTTTTGTAGTATTTGCAATGGTCATTAGTTTGGATCTTGAAATCACAATTTGAAGATGTTAGACCGTTGTCACAGTCTTCACAAAATTTGGTTGTATCAGAAATACAATCCGAACTAACAGCAACACACTCATTAAATCGTAACACTTTTTGACTGTCACAGGACAAACACTTGGTAGTTGAAACTTGATTCACACAATTAATGTTCTTTGGCTCACATTTTCCATTCAAATAAAAGAATTAGTTTCATCGCAGAGAACACACTTATATTCAGAATTTAGTACATAAGGAGTTCTACACTTTAAACACTTTGCTTTGTAATTTTCACTTCCACAAGACAAGAATTATCAACTTCAGTATAACAATAATTACACGTGTTTAGAGTACTTTGAAACATTGTATCTACACACTGACATTCGCCCTCTTTAACTTCAAAGTTTTCATTACACGTTGTACACACTTTTGAAGTTGTCGAACAATTTTTGCAGTTATCAATTGCACTGCAAAGATAGCATCTTCCTTCTAATAAGTAATACCCCTCTTCACACTCTTGACATCCAGAAAGTCCACATCCACTTGCTTTACAGTTCTGGTCACAACACTTTTGATTAAACAATTTATAATTTTCTTCACAAGTTAAGCAATTATCACCACTCGGGCCATTACACGTCTTACACTGTGAATTACACGCCAAACGCGCTTTTCCATTCAAATAGAACTGATTTTTACACAATGAACACCCAACTCCAATCACACACAAATTTGTCTCACAATTTTCATCGCAATCCAAACACCTTCCATTAATTAAAAATTTTCCTTCGTCACACGTTAAGCAGTTTTGAGAGGAACTGCCGTTGCAAGTCAAACAGGTCGAGTCGCAGGCCGAACACCCAAAATTGTTTGGATAGTAGTGGGCCTCACATAAAGTGCATCCAACATAACTGGAACACTTCCCACTTTGGCAGTTGTTGTCGCATTCCATACAATAATTTGTATTTAGTAAAAAGTAGTTATTAACACATGAAGTACAAGAATCAGGCGAGTCGCTTGTGCACGTCAAACAAGTTGAATCACAAGGAGTGCAAAGTAAGTCTTTGGGATAATAATGGTTCTCACATTGAGTACACCCTTTCTCGGCTTCACAATAGTTTGTTAAACACTTTGAATCACATGTAAGACACTGCCCTTGATATAAGTACTTTCCAGCATCACAAGAAGTGCACGTTTGAGCGGATGGTCCTGTACATGTCTTACAGCCAGTGCATTTGTAACACTCTGAACCTGATGGATAATAATAATCAGGACAGGTAACGGTTTTAAGAGTGTGTTTATTCTCAATGATTGAACATATTTTCTATTAATAGATCCCCATTTGGTGTCAATGTATAATGAAAAAGCGTTGCATTAAAAATAACAGGTATGTCCTTGTGGTCATTCCTATAAATATGCAAAATTGTTTGGAAATCACACATTACTGATACGTCGCTTAAACAATCAGATAAATATATTTCATCACCTTCGAGAGTCCACTCAGCATTCAGAGGAGTTTCTTCTCCACTTTTTGAGCAAAATATCGTCTTTCCTTTTTTCACCCATTTCAGTGAAAACGCGTTTCAGACGAGAAACAGAATGAGTGTCGCCAACATCGCCAAAAAACACTTTGAATTATTTTTATTTTTTTAATTGTTTGAAAATAGAAATATGGTTATAACATTTTGATTAATTATAGTTTCATTTATAATTATTTAAATTGTTTATTAACTATTATAGTATTTTAACTATATTTAAATGGTATTTTGGAGTTTGGGTAACTTGTCAAATATATAAAAAGGCATTTTATTGAATTGAATAAAAGATGAGGAGAAGAAAATCAAATTCTATTGCTTATTGACTTTTAAAAAAGTTGGAAAAATCCTCAAATTACTTATGGAATTTCTGGCTTCTTTTTTGTATTTTTGCAAACTGAGGTAAATAAACTATTAAAATGGTTTAGTTATTAATTACCCCATTTCAAGAAAAAATAAAAGTGCCTGTTGAATTTCATTTAATATTTTTGCGTTGTTTTTAATAAAAAATATATTATATTTTTATAAATTAATTATAATTAATTTTAATTCAAAAATGTCGCAATTTGAAAAGTTATTTTTACCTTTTTATTTTTTTCGAATCTAATTTGAGATGTTTTTTCTCTGAAAAAGTTATTGTTTTGTATTTCTGTTTTGATTTGTTTTTATATCAGTTAAGTTTTTTCAATGTGAATTATTATTTTTTTAATAAAAACTTAGGTCAGTTTTTATTAAATTCTCCCTTTTCAAAAGAATACAACAAACCCTTTAAAAAATTAGGAATTGGGTAATAAATTATAAAACGGTAAAAAAAACTGAAACAACGATTTTCTGGCGTTATACAAAAATTCCCGATACATTCCAGTTATTAATATCTAAAAACTGAGGGAAACTTGAGAGAAAATGATTCTAGATTACATATATTATTATTTACTATTATTATAAATATGTTTATTGGTTTTGTCAACAACTAACATTTATACTGTATTTGTTTATAAGTTTTTATTTTTTATTTAATTTTTAATAAATTATTTATAGTTTTAATATTATAATTGTTTAATTATATATAAAAAATAAACTTAAAATTTTGTAGTTTATCCTTGATTAAAAATTACAATCAATTTATAAAACTATTTTATTTGTTAAATATTGTGATCGATAGAAAATACAAAACATAATTCAAATAATTTGTTATACACATGTACAATGCCCATGTTCCAAATACAAAGATTTTATAATAATTGTATTTATATAATAGATATATCTTATGTACTCTCTTAAATTAATAATATGTGCATTTCACAATATTTATTTAAATTTCAATTAAAACAATTAAAAATATTATAGACATCTTGTTTTTAAAACATTCGAAATATCACATTTCAAACCAAAATTATTTGTAACCAAATGATTATTTTCTTCTAAATAATAAAGGAAAATTTACATTCATCAAAAATCAAAGGTTTTGAACAACTTTTGAAAATCTATTAACCAAACAACATCAATATAAAGTGTGGATTATTGTATATTAAAAACAGTAAATAATCTAATTACTTGGAGAATTTCTCACTTTATATTAATGACATATTTATTTTTCATCAATCTGAATTTTGATAATTATATTAAAAACATAAATTAATAACCATATGAATTGTCTCAATCACATGTTTATTTATTTATTGTAATTAATAATTGTTAATAGGTTATATAAAAAGGGAAGAAAATTAAGTGTTGAAATCATATTATTTTATATTAATTAATGATAATGAAGTTTTTATTTTTAAGGTGATTATAATTGAATAATTCACTTTTTTACTGAACAAACCAAAACATAATATAATTGTATTCCAATGTTAAAATTATAAATATTATATATGAAACTATTCTAATGATACACAAACAAAAAATATTTTTAATGTTAAAAATAAGATTAAAATAATTGATTTAATTATGCAATTATTAGGTTGATTATATTTTCTAAAGTTCTAATTTATAATCATTTAATCTTTTTTATTCTGATGTTTATATGCATTCGAATTATTATGTTATGTTTCGTTTATTGTGCTTTATCTGAAGAAGCATCAAGTTGTTTAGCAGGTTTTTATCTTGATGTTGATACATGTGTCTTTTGTCCAATAGGTTATTACTGTCCTTTAGATGGAATTAAAATTCCGTGTAATCCTGGTAATTATTCGGATATACGCGGTCATATTTATTGTAAATTGTGTCCAGCTGGAACTTACTCAATTGAATTAGGATCAACCAATTGTGATACTTGTCCATTCGGTTCTTACTCTTTGATTGGTGCTACTTTTTGCACAGCTTGCACGAGTAGCACGTGTGATTCGTGTAGTTCAACGACGGGAAAGTGTCTCTCTTGTTCAGTTGGTTGTGGTTTTGTTTCTGATGGTATTTGCAAAGCCTGTGAAGCGGGATATTTCTCACTTGGTGGTACTGCTTCGTGTTCAAAATGTCCAACTAATCTTTTTTCAACAAATAAAAGTAGTTCTTGTACCCCATGCAACTCAGCATGCAAAACGTGTGATGACACAAATGGAAATTGTCTGACTTGTTACGAAAATTCTTTTATTTCAAATAGTGTTTGTGTAGGTTGTCCAGCAGGTCAATTTTACAGTTCAGATGGATGTTTGGATTGTGCAGAACAAACGTATTCTCTTGCAAACAGTACAGTGTGTACAAGTTGTAGTTCATGTGTTGCATGTGACAAAACTAATGGGCATTGCACTTTATGTGAGAAAGGGCAATTTATCGACGATTATAAGTGTATTCATTGTAAAACTGGGACCTATGGAAATGGCTTTCAATGTATTCCCTGCCAAAAAGGAACATATTCAAGTTTACCAGGAAGTGATAAATGCATTCAATGTGAAGATGGTTATTACACTAATAATACATCTTCAATTTTGTGTCTAAAATGCAACAGTTATTGCAATTCATGTGAAAAAGAAAGTGGATACTGCTCCTCGTGTGTGTCTGGTTGTGTATTATCAGGAAATTACTGCATTCCATGCGAAGCTGGTACAAGAGCAAATCAAGAAACAAACAAATGTGATGTCTGTCCAGCTGGAACACATTCATCAAAGCAATCAACGACTTGTTTGTTATGCGGAAATGGTTTTTATTCAACAAAAGGATCATTAAATTGTTTGTCATGCAGTTTAACATGTTTAACATGTAACAACACAAATGGAAACTGCATCACTTGTATTTCTGGCAATGGTTTAGATGTGTTTTTTAATTGCCACATCTGTCCAGCCGGAACTTACGCAAATTCAACAAACAACAAATGCCAACACTGTGAAGATAAAACGTATCAATCAAATGAAGGACAAACATTTTGCAATTCATGTAATATTAAGTGTGAAACGTGTGATAAAATAAGTGGTGAATGCCTGACATGTTATGCTGGATATGGTCTTGGTTATGATGGGAACTGTGAATTGTGTCCTGATGGCTATTATTCAAATGGTGGAACTTCAAAGTGTTTGCCATGTCCAGGTGATTGTTTGAATTGTTTCAAAGAAAGTGGCGAATGCACAACATGTCAGTCTGGGAATAAACAAGTCACAAACCAAAACACGGGAAACAAAGAGTGTGTTTCATGTTCGTTAAACAATAATTGTGCATTGTGTGATTTGAATATTAATGAATATGAAAGGAATTGTGTTGAGTGTTCAAGTACCTATTATTTGAAAGATAACAACTGTTATGTGTGTTCACAGATAACAAATTGTGTGCAATGCTCACCAAAGAGTAGTAATTGTTTGATGTGTTCTGGTGAATATATTACAGTTGGTGAAAAATGTATCTCATGCGAAGAAGGCAAAGTGAAAGTCACTTCGAATATTTGTATGAATTGTTTTGAATTGATTCCAAATTGCCAACTCTGTGAATACAATAATGGAAAACAAAAGTGTTTAAAATGTAATGCACCCTATGTTTTGAATAATGATTATTTAGAATGTTTATTGGCGTATTCAAACAATACACATTTTGGTTGTGATACATCTGAAAGTGTTATTAATATTGAAGGTTGTATTAATCAAGTAAATTCGTCGTGTTTCATGTGTAACGACAAATGCATTTTAATTGATGGAAAATGCATTGAAAAACAAAATGATAAATGCTTTAATTATTCTTTAAAATCATGTGATAACTGTTTAAATAATGTTATTACAACAAATGGTGATTGTTCAATTACAAGCACATGCAAATATCAACTTACTCAAAATGACAAAACTACTTGTTTGATATACAAAAACAACACACAAGAAGGTATCAAAGCCAACAACTGCAGATATATACAAAATGAGTTTTGTTATTTGGCGAATGATGGATATTACACAACACTTGATATCAATGGTGAAACTTCAAATTGTGAAAATGCAATATTATGCAAAAATGAAAATGGTAATAAAGTAGATATATCATGTAAAAGTGAATTTGTGATGACAAAGAACGTGTTGTGTTCACGGGACTTGAAATGTGCCGATTACAACGGAAGTGTGTGTATTGCATGCCAACAAAACCATCACATTGAAAATGGTGGATGTGTTTTCAATGACAATGAATGTGTTATTCAAAACAAAGAGATTTGCATTTTGTGTAAAAACAAAATAACTATTAATGGGAAGTGTGTTTTAAATGATTCAATTATTTGTAAAGAATTTGTTGGAAATGTATGTAAACAATGCGAAGAAGATCATTACAAAGACACAAGTGGGTGTTTGCCAAAACAAGACAAATACAAAGACTGTGAGTATGTGAGTGTTATTATGTCGTCGTGTTTGGAGTGCTACAAATCTCATGTTCTTGTTGACAATATATGTGTTTCCAGTGATGAATATAACAACACTGTAAATTTACTTAATATTCAAACAATGAGTAAAACACCTACAGACAACTGCATATTAAGAAGTTCAAAAGGGTGTTTGCGATGTAGTGATGGGTATTACATATCGAACTCTGTTTGTGTGAAATGTGAGTACCCATGCACTTATTGCTCGAATTTAACGTATTGCACAAAATGTAATGCGTACTCGTACACCAAGAATGGCAAGTGTTTTGAAATCAATGAGATACTAAGTGTTTGTGATGTAATGATGTCAACATATGTAGGATGTGTTGTGTGCAAAGATGGGTACATGCGATCAAGTGATGGCAAACAGTGTATTAGTTGTGACAGGTCATGTGCAACGTGTTCCAATGATGGTGATTGTGTTGTTTGCAGTGATGGATATTACAGAACACCAAATAACAACACAAAGCTGTGCAACTCACAGACAGAATTGAACAACTGTTTGAACAAAACAACGAGTGGTTGCACACTATGTGAAAGTGGTTTTGCACCGAAAGACAACTTGTGTTACAAATGTGGTGAAAATTGTACCTTTTGTGATTCCACCTTTGAGTGTTCAAAATGTGATAATAACAACATTTTGAAAGATGGAGTGTGTGTTCACTTTTCTCAAATACCAAACTGCATTTCATCACAAAATTCATTATGTTGGGAGTGTGCAGATGGCTACAAGTTGAGGGACGACAAAATCGAGTGTTTTACAGACAATAATTATGGGTTGATTGTTGGTATTCCAATTATGTGTGTTGTTGTGATGGTTGTTGTAATTATTGCAACAGTGATCATTGTTGTTCTGATTGTGTTTAAAAAGAAAGACGACAAACTAATTGAAAATGTGTGCGTCTTTAAGATGAGTCGCTCTAATATTACAATGACTAAACTTGAAGGCGAAATTCTTTCAAACAAAAATGAAATTTCATTTGGTGATGAAAATGACAAAATCCACATTGAGACTGAAAGTCGTGAATTGTTGTGTGTTGGCAACTCGTCAAAAGGTAACATGAAGATTCAAATCACAACAAAAGACAAATGCGACAAATACAAAATTCGAACAGAACCCAAAATTGTGACTTTAAAAAGCGGGTTTGCATGCGAATTTGAAATATTTTTAACACCATATTGCACAATGAATTTGAGTGACAAAATAATGATCATCTCACTCAACTTAAAAAGTGGTAAACAAAACTCGACTTCCATTGCCATAAATGGACAAGTGGAGAACTCAACACATCTCGATTATGACGAGTTAATTGAAGAAAAGAAAATAGGAGAAGGAACATTTGGCGTTGTCTACAAAGGTAAATACAGAGGAAACACTGTTGCAATTAAAAAGATGAAAGAATTCAACGAAAATAATATTGAAGAATTTACAAAAGAAGTAGCTATGCTTGATAAATTTAGAAGTGAGTACATCACACACTTTTATGGCGCTGTGTTTATTGAAAAGAAACAATGTATGGTTACCGAATTTGCATCTTATGGCTCATTAAAAGATGTTTTAAAACACAAAACAAGTAAAGACATTGACATGAAATTGCGAGTAAAGTTTTGTCTTGACGCTGCTAAAGGAATATTGTATTTACATGAAAACGACATATTACACAGAGACATCAAGCCAGACAATTATTTGATATTTTCACTTGATTCAAATGAAAAGGTGAATGCAAAATTGACTGATTTTGGAAGTGCAAGAAATGTGAATCTTTTAATGACTAACATGACATTCACCAAAGGTGTTGGTACTCCGAAATACATGGCTCCTGAAGTTCTAGACAAAAAGAAGTACAAAAAACCAGCAGATATTTTTTCCTTTGCAATTACAATGTATGAAATTATTCTTTGGGAAGACGCGTTTCAAAAAAGTGATTCACGGTTCAAATATGCATGGGATATAGCAGACTTTACTAGTGCTGGGAAGAGATTGGTTATACCAAAGGATGTTCCAAATGAACTCTCATTTTTAATCACAAAATGTTGGGCTCAAGAACTCGAGCAACGAATAAAAATTCAAGAAATAGTTGAAAATCTTGAACAAACTTCGAAATTTAATTAAAAACTGTTTTTGAGTAACTGTTTTTTTCATAATTAAAACATTGATATTATTTATGATAAACAGTTTTGTTGTTTTTGAAAAGTCAAACTCACCTCTTATTTCTCAAGTTTCATTTTTTTTATTAAACCTATTAAAATTTAATATATTAATTTAATAATATTGTCCAAAAATATCCGTTTATTAAATTACAAATATTACTACATAATTTGTTTTGAATATAAACAACTTTCTACTGTATCGATGGGGACAAGTTTTTATAGAAAACTATCAGAAATAACACAGTGTTTCAATTTTATATATAATTTATTTTTTTTGAACAGTTATTATTTAAAAATTATGGGGTTTATTAATTTTTTTATAATGAAATTATTTATTCAAATAACAATGTGTTATAACAAATAATCTATTTTATAATATAATCTAATTATAAAACAACTTAAAGACAAACTTCATACTAAATTATCATCAAAATTTTGACTTAATTTTTAATCTATTTATTGGTTAGAACAATAATACATATTAGTAATAATTAGTTAGTTACAAAAACAATTCTTTTGTTTTAAAATTTGAACATCACAAAATTACGAATATATTCAAGAACAAATGGATTAAAGACAACATTTAAATAAAAAATGGAATATTATAACAAAAACAATTTGAGTTTTTTATTTCATAATAACACTGAATAAAAAACTACAATTTTTACATTAATAACCTGATTTTGTTATTAATAAATTTTTATATTATTTATTTTATTATTTTATAAATAATATTAAATATTTTTTATTTTCATAGTTATTTGACTCAACAGAAAACTATTGAGTAAATATTCTAAATTGTAATTTCATAATTTAAAAATTAGAACTAAAAACAAGACAAAACCTTTAAATGGCGGTTGCCCTATATATATGTTTATATTTAATCGAATTAACAAGTGGACAAGAGTGCCAATGCTACCCAATTGGAACAAAATCAAGCGACATGTTTTCACCTGCGGGTTGTGAAAATACAACAACGCACTCCTATTGTCTTGAAAATGATTTTTATTATGACACCGATTCGACTTATAACGAAACTATAATTCAGAAAACGCTTACAATAAATTCAACTAAAAGTTTTAAACTATCAAATTATTTTCGATTAGTTGACAACGTGGTTCTCACACAAAATGGCGCATTTCATGTTGTAAATAAAACTACTATTGGAGCAAACTCACAGCTTCTTGTCAACACTTTTTATTCACTTGCTGGTGATTTTCAATTGGAAAATCCTCAATTAAATCGTCCACAAATAATTCTTTGGAATTCTTCATATCTTCATTTAAATAGGAACATAACTAATAGAGTCGATTTCCAAATTAAAAACCCCATTGGCAACACAAAGTGCTTTGACGCGTTTTCTCTCAATAATGGCAACAATTTAAATATCAATGAAGTCGATAACAATTGCATTTTGTCAACAATGTTTCCTTACAAATTTGATGATGGAACTGGATATCTTATATCAAGTCAAAGACTCCTTAGATTCTGTCCTAATGGTACTAATTTAGCAAATACAGTGACGTGCACGTTGATTAAGAGATTATACACTGATGCAAACTATTCACCAAATTATTCACCACAAACATTTGACTATCCACATTGTCCGTGTAATAGTGATAAGACTTTAAATTGTGAATTAAAATTGTTTGGGCAAATCAGTTCGTTTGAATTTAATACAAAATCCTTGGATAACACTCATATATTCGTCGAAAAAAACGTCTCACTTGCTAATTTAAAATATCCAAAGAAAATTACAATTGCAGACGACGTGAATCTCAATTTTTATGGAAGAATGTCAAATACAGTGTTTTATTACTCTTTTGGAGAGATCAAATTTGATGCAAACCAAATACCTTTTACAACGCCTTGTTCAGTCAAATTTGACACTTCAACGAACACATTTTCATGTAACAAGGATATGATCTTTTCGGTCAATTTTACTAAGAAATTTGAGACCTTTGTGATCAACAGTCTTTCAGAAATCACTTCACTGAATTTGTTTTCAAATTCTACTGTGTTTATATTGGGGAAAACTAAACTAAATAATATTGTGCCAATGTATTTTGGGGAGTTTGATAAGAGTTATGTTATAATGAATGATGGAACATCTAAT